GACTGACCCAAGGTCACCCAGCACGTGGAGGAGGCGGCGGCGGCCCGGGGAATCCAGCCTGGCTCTCCAAACTGGAGTCTGCCACTCTTAACCGGGACACCCCAGCCAGAGGGGAGGGGAAAGGGGGGGGCTGCTCAGGCGCCCCCAGAGCTCAGGGGATCCTTGAGCCAGAGACTGGGAAGAAATCCCCCAACCGGGTGATATGTGTGGCCAGTGTCAGAGACTCCTGCATAAATCAGCTTGACAGCCAGTTCCTTATTCGGGCACCTTCCCGGTGTACTCAGAAACGCTGGGGGTGGGGGTTTCCGTGGGTCAGGCACCGGGCCATGCCCCCACCACACCATTTCAGGGCACAGTCCACAGAATGCATGCGGGGGGGGGGGCACAACTCAGGGCCAGGGTTCCCTCTCAGCTGAATGAGTGTGAGCCAGCTCACAGTTCCTTAGCCTCCGGCTCACACCTTTTTCCTCTTCGCTCAGGCAGGATGGCTCCAGAGCACCCTAATTGGTGCAGCAGTCAAATTGCTCGCTCACAACATTAATGCCGGTGGCTCACCAAGAAGAATTTGTGCTCACCAGACTCCACAGCTTAGAGGGAGCCCTGCTCAGGGTGGTCCAAGGGTATTTGGGGTACCCTTCCTTAGGCTGCATGTCTCCGGGGGGGGGGCGCCCCACCTGGGAGCCCTCTGTGTCAAATGGAGGCTTTGGGTCAGGGAACACAGCGCAGAGTCCCCCTCGATGCCCCCTCTCAGCTGTGGAGTCCTGTGAGCAAAAATCCTACTTTGGGAGCTACTTAGTGGCATGAAAGCGGTGAGCAGGTGATTCGGCTGCTGCATCAAGCCCCCTCCTCCCGGAGCTGAGACAAAACTGTGTGAGCCGGAGGCTAAGGAGCTGTGAGCTGGCGCACACTCGCTCCGCTGAGAGGGAAGACGGGTCCCCCTGAAGGGGGCGGGTGGGGTCTGTCAAGGCGTCACGGGCATTTGTGGCCGGATCCAGGAACAAGGCCCCGGGGAAGCCCTTGCAGCCTCTGCTCTCTGGGGGTGCGCGGAAGGTGGGGGGATGGGAAACGGACCTGCTCCAGGTCCAAAGCCTGGAGAGGACGACTCGGGGCCCCCCTTCCCAGGCCCCCAGCCTCGAGAGTCCAGCCCTGGAGGCAGGGAGAAGAGGTCGCCCCCGGAACAGACGCACCGGCTGGCCGGTCGGAAGGGACGAGGACGCGCGCCCCCCAGCGCGCCACACACACACAGAGAAGCGGGCGAGGACAGAGGACGCTGCTAGCCACCCCCCACCCCCCAAAGCATCCCCCCAGAGAGAAGGGCCGGGAGCAGCCGGGGCCACGTGCTCAGAGGGCCACCCGCGGGGAGCCCCCCGTCCCGTCCCGTGCGCCCTCCTCCCTCCCTCCCTCCCACGTGCTCCTCCCTTTCCTCCC